CCCTTGCCCCCCCCCCCCCCCCGTTCAATTTTAGGACAATTTTAGGACCTACAATAAGTCCGCTACCTTAACCACCAAACCACCATAGCACAGAGCAGGCAATATAGCAGGTAATGCAGAAAAAAACCATGTGTCTCCTAAAAAAATGGTTTCTTGGCAAATATGCATTTAAAAAAAAATGCTATTATATCCAAACGGCTTTACTTACCTTCACTATGCACCTTTCTCAGGGTGACGGAGGGCGTCGAGATGGCAGAGGCGCGGAAATTTGCAGGCAAGGTTTCGGAGGAGTCAGAGGTGACGCCTCGCAGATCCTTCTCTCGAAACATCCTTCTCCACGATGGCGATCGAGTAAATGTTTTAGCACCATCCTACGGAGACAGTCAGTTGTTATAAAGAGCCATCGTGTCGTCTGACAGAAAGTGCCGTATTTTACGGACTGTAAGTTCACACTGTTTTTCACCCTTTGCGACTTATACTCAAGTGCGACTTATATATTCAACTATATAATTTCACAGGTTTGTTATTTTCACACTGACAGCCACTAGTGGGCGCTCTTATATATGGTTTTTTTACCTCCTCATTATGGACTTTCTGGCTGGTGTGACTTATACTCCGGAGCGACTTATAGTCCGGTAAAAAACCGGTAATAGGATTCAATTTTGTCATAGAAAAGAAAAAAACCATTAAGGCACAATTTAGCGTGACATCTCAGCCTGCGGAAGTGTGTATTTATTATTCCGCCTGCCACTGTGCATTGACAAATAAAGATAACATTATTTGCAGTAAATAAATAATAGCTTTAGACCAATTGGGTGAAATTAGATAATTAAATAATATATGATATATGAATAGAAACACTAGTGTGCCACAATACAGTGGTTGGAAATCACTGTTGAAGTTCACCAGTGAGAGGCTGAACAGTAAGGAAAAAAGAACTAAAAAGGAAATGAAGCATAGTAGGTTGATAAAATAGAGTACTGTCTTGTTATTTGTTATTTGTTATTTGTCATGTACCATGTTTCGGTACAGTACCTCATACGAAACCAACTTGCAAATTGTACCATTGACAAACATGTAGTAGTTTGAATCCTTTGTAATCTATTCAAACAGATAAGTCTACATCATCCCAGCAGATTCTAAATAATTATTTTTTTTCACGATCTCGTTGTCTTACAGTACCTCATCCGGCCTCCTCTCTGTTCCCATGGAGATAAGAGCGTTGTACTCCTTCTCTAGCAGCTGCCGTGCCTGCAGACCAACAAGACTTTGAGTCACCATTATAAAGTAAGTACTAAAAAAATAAAAAAAATAAAAAATGCAATTAAATAAAAGTATCTTTGCTTTGCTTAAATTCTACTCAAGTAAAAGTACCCGTGTAAAAATTGACGAGAGTAAAAGTAAAAAAACATCGTGACAAACATTTCATATTTTACTCAGTAACGGGTTGTTTTCCGTTGTAGCAAAGTAAAATACTTGAGTAAAAATGTAGTTGAGTAAAGTTACCTATTCCTGAAACGACTTAAAAATGACAAATGACTTACAAAAACTACTCAATTACAGTACGTGAGTAAATGTAATTTGTTCCACCCCTGCTAGGTATAAGAGTTTTGGCAAATTTTATGGACTTCCTTATTAAAGAATGGAACACCTTAAATAATTTTTTAAGATGGCAGGCCCAGATACCTTAAAGATTTAAGGTGTCTGCACATGCCCCCTTAAAAAAAATCTTTAAGGTGGTATGCCAACTGGACTCTTTAAAGAATCATTCTAGGTTCCTGTGATTCAGTTATGAAAGGTTATTGTTTTTGAACATTTATGAATCATTATTGAATTTTTACATGTCACCAGCCATGTTGCAACAAGCCAGTTCCGCATGTGAATGAAAGTGGGAAGCACAGCCTAGCGGATCTGCGCTGCTCCGCCTCAGACTGCATAATGTAAATATGTATATATATGTATATATATATATATATATATATATGTATATATAT